ATAAGGAAAGAGATGTAGGACTTGGCTGAGAAAGTCAGATCATGATGCAGATGAGAAACTTAACAATAAATAATTATGAATTTTACTGGCTTAAGACATGGAGAAAAAAAGAATTTTGTGTGTAATATCCAAATGGCTACAAAGAAAGTGGTTAGAGGATAAATGACCATCTTAAATATAGAACACATTGAAATATGAAATAATATAATCACACTCAGTTCCTCCTTTCTCCCACTCTAAATTTCTAGTTTGTCTTTCTAATCATGGCCTATCAGTTCCCTTCTCCCTTGTGATCTTTACGTACGTAAGTCCTGTGGATTCAGTTCCTGCATTTCATCTCAGTCTCCAGTCCCAAGGCCAGGTCACCAACCCCTTAGCCCTCCTGAGGAGAATATTCTGGATGAGCTGCCATCAGAGGTCATCTCTCACTTTCCTCTCTCCCCAGGGAAGGAAACTAGTTGCTGCTTGGAGCAACTCTTCTTTTCCAAACTCCTTCCCTTGAGTCTCCTCACAGGCACCAGGCCTCAGTCTTCCATCTCACTTTGTTTTCTTCATTTATAGTTTCTTCTTTGTATCCTTAAGCTACTAAACTCCCTTTCTAAACTTGGTGAGAAAAATGTAGAGGGTGAGAGTACAAAAGAGGAGAGTGTCAGGGAAGAAAGAATCCATTTCAGCTTTATCGTAAAGAGGCATGTGGATTCTCCTGGGAATCTAAGAACAGAATTATAATGGAGCCTGCGGGTGGCAAGGCCTCAAGGCAGCTTTGAAGGCCTCAGAGGAATTTGTGAGTCTTCCCTCTGGAACAATAGCCTTTGGAGTCAGACAATCTTGGGTTCATATCTTAGTGTTGTTATTCACTGATTTTGGCAGAATTACTCCATATCTCTTTGCAGAGCCTCAGACTCTTCAATGCGATATGGGAGTAATTCCGAATTTTACTTCAGTAAGGTTTTTGTGAAGCTCAAATGAGATGATGTGTGTAAATCACTAGCATAATACCTACATACATATAAGGCTTAAAAAAAAAAGGTCGCCCTAACCCTTTTGGCTCAGTGAATAGAGCATCGGCCTGCGGACTAAACGGTCCCAGGTCCGATTCCAGTCAAGGGCATGTACCTGGGTTGCGAGCACATCCCCAGAAGGGAGTGTGCAGGAGGCAGCTGATCGATGTTTCTCTCTCATCGATGTTTCTAACTCTCGATCCCTCTCCCTTCCTCTCTGTAAAAAATCAATAAAATCTACTTTTAAAAAAAATCAATAAAATATGTATATTTTTAGAAAAGATCATGTCTTTATAATGAACACGACTCACTAAACATATTTACTTCATATATTTACTCCTAGTTTCTGCTTTCTAATAATTTAATCCCGTTCATGATGTTGGGGAAATAGAAAAAAAATATTGTCCCAACCCAGAAATGCTCTCTATAAAGGTAGTAGAGAAAGAAAACACTTATATTATTGAATAAACACTACACCAGAGTGTGACACACGCCACAGGAAAACCTCTAAGAGCTTGCAAAAGCAGACAAGAATCTCACCTCTTTTATATAAACTAACAGATATAACCCAGTACATACATGTTTTCAGATAAACAATGACTAGTCCTCAATTAAGAGAAGTTGACAGCACTATTTGTCAGACATAGGATATCATAACATTACCTGGTAAGTGAGGTGACCATTTGTGGGAGCTAATTGGCTTTATCCAGAGGGAATACAAACTTCTCATATCCTTATTACAGGAGGTAGTTATGCAAGTTGGAGCAAGATGTCCAATCAAGGAAGTTAGGCCCCCATTCTCCCACAGAAACGGGAAATAGGGGTACTATCTGCCTTAATGTTTACATTTCAAAGAGATGGCTTTCATGTCCTTGAGGAAGACATTCCTAGGTCAAAGCTGACAAAATGCCAATGTGGTCTTCAAAAGAATTTATTTACATTTCAAAGAGAGGAGAAAGTATTTGCAACATTTCTAAAATAAAATGTTCAAGGGAAAAGGAGGGGAGGACAATTTCTTCCCTTATTTTCAACAGGAAGACTTAAGCCTCTTCTTTTTAATTTGTATTTGTCCTTACAAATGATATAATACTCTCTCTGGTCCCCCTCTAAAGCATGACTTTCCTGATATATCTGCTGTACTAAATAGAAAATTCCTAAGTGAAAAAATCTAATGTTTTTTTCCTACTCCTTTGTATCAAGTTGATGACCAGCTTCCAGACTGGGTATTCTGAGGCAGGCACCCATCTGTAATCCAATTAGTTATGGCAAGAGGAAGAAAGAATCAAATAGAGGTGGTTGTGATTAGAGCTACCCTTTGAAGGTGGTTCTGAACATGGCAAACACCCCCTCCCCCCATACATTTAGTATGTCTTTCCCTTTGTCCTTCAAATGCCAGAGTGAGCTCCTCTTAGTATTCCCAGTGTTTTCCAGAACACTAACCCCTTAGTAGGTATTCAACGGATATTGTTGGTTAAATAACTGCATGAATTATGTTCTTAGCAGGTTGGAGTCTTGTTAGGTTGAAAGCAGCTCTGGAGTAAGATTGTTATTTATTAAGTGAACAATACATAGTGTAAATTGCTGGAAATTACAGGAAATGTTGTTATGAACGTAAAACCTTTGAAACAGAGAAGCCAACTTGAATGTTTCCATATGAATGATTATCACATTTTCTCTATAAAGTGTTTTATTTTAAAATTTCTCTTTTTTATCTCTCTTGGGGAAGGGAAAAGATATTTTAGTGGCAGATATAAAGATTTAAAATTTTGAGCAATTATGTTTTCATGAAATTCTTCAATTTCTGGCAAAACTAGATCGAACCAGTTATGGTATATATAGAGATTTTGTTTTGTCAAGTACATAAATAATGCAAATATTTCTTATAGGAAACAAACTGACAGGTTCCCTTCACTCCCTCCCACTTTCCATTTAATCTATTTTTGAACTTATCCAAGGTAGAAAAGAACATTGTGAAAAACTGCAATATTTGGTTATGGGTCAATGAGTTTAAAATTCTGCTGTTCCATAGTTCCGTATGGACTGTCATCTCAGGAATGAACAACTTACAAAAGATGCTTTGGATCCCAAAGGGTTTGGGTGAGAAGAGGGAGTTGAATAAGTGGAAATTGAGTCTTACCACTGGAGAAACAAGAATCCCATGCCTGGCCAATGGTGGGTGGCAACACCATCCTTCTATGTGAAGAGCAGCATGATAAAGATTATTTCTATTAGGAAATTTGTCATTCCAGCATTCCAGCCTTCTGGCATCAATGTAGAAGGTACCCTTCAGTGGAGATAGTCCACCCAAGCTTTTTAAAAAGGTGTATATAACAAAGGATGAGTCTGCTAAAGAAAGCAGTTATTTTTAGGTGATTGTGTTAATGTAATCTGATGAGTTCTGTGGTCATACCTTTCTACTGGAACATGGGAGAGAACATACACACACCTCTGACTTTACAATGAATCTCTTGACTATCATATTGTTATGTTTTATTCTATGCAGGCTTATTACTGAAATGGAGAATTATTCCTGGTCTTTGGACAATAATTCAGTGGTGGACCCTAATATAGCAGTACAGTCTGTCACTTCCAATCCGAAAGACACTGGGTCTACAGGTGTTCTCTTCACTGTGGAGAAAGGTGAGCTACTTGTTTTCTGTGCTTGTAATATCAGAGAGTATTCTGCTACCAACCATAAATAATGATTTATTCATGAAAATGTAGACTTTTAAAATATACTTTTCTCCCCCATTTCATAGGAGCTAGCGATTCTCTTCTTACTGGTAAAACACATGTAGATCCAAAGGAGGACGGTTTTCATCCAAATAGAATGACTGAACTTCAGATCTGGCTCAAAACATCAACAAGTAGGTCTCAAACTTGGTTATATTTTAAAAAAATGCACCCAAATTCATGGAATTAATAATTTAAAAATCACTGAGTGCAAAATAATGTTTACATAGTTTCACACTGAATAATTTGCATTTGAGTATGTTAGAGCTCTTGCAGATTACAGTAATCTTTACAATGCTAGGTCATAGAGATGATTACTTTTCTTCTTTCTTGCTTTTCAAAAATATTTTGGAGGATAGTAGAATTGAAATGCCCTGGCCATGGACACAAATCTGTTTTCTAATAAAAATCTAGCTAATGTGGCTCATTAAAAAAATACATTTAAAAAAATATTCAGTCACAAGCTCTGTCCATGGCATTCACCTACTGGGATTCATCCTATACGCCTGTGCTGGGGATATTTTAGGTAATTGACCCAGGCATCACTTACTAGTACCAATTTTCAGTTGTTTCCTCTAATATGGTGCCAAGCTTGGGCTCTCTATTCTCTTGCACATGGCCCTGCAGAAATTCTTATGTCTAACTTCAAATGTTTGTACTTTACAAAGTCTAAAAAAGTTTGACTGATTCTTTTACAATAATAATAAGCAAACCAGACACACACATTTACACTTGTTTTCTCCCTAAAAAAAAAAAAGAAGAAGAAGAAAAAAGAAACAGAATGCTATAATGAACTTATTTTGGAAAGACTAAGTTTATATTTCTCATTGGTTATATAATTCTAATTGGTTAATAAATGTTTTTTGGTCACAGAACTTGCAAATATCTTCCCTCCAGTCTGCAGTAATCTTTTGCTTGTTTTTTTTAAAGTTTATATTGTGTTTATTTATAAAATCTAATTTCGCAGTTCTTAACAGAGCTAATATGTTAAAGTGAATTAAGTATAAGAATAAACTTTTTTCTTTTGCTTGTTTTTAAAATAAATCTTTATTATTCAGATTATTACAGTTGTTCCTCTTTTTTCCACCCATAACTCCCTTCCACCCAATTCCTACCCCACCCTCTGCCCTTACCCACCCCCACTGTCCTCATCCATAGGTGTACGATTTTTGTCCAGTCTCTTCCCCAACCCCCCACATACCTTTCCCTCCCGAGAATTGTCAGTCCATTCCCTTTCCATGCCCCTGATTTTATTACATTCACCAGCTTATTCTGTTCATCAGATTTTTTTTCACTTGATTTTTAGATTCACTTGTTGATAGATATGTACTTGTTGTTCATAATTTTTATCTTTACCTTTTTCTTCTTCTTCTTCTTCTTCTTCTTAAAGAATACCCTTCAGCATTTCATATAATGCTGGTTTGGTGATGATGAACTCCTTTAGCTTTTTCTTATCTGTGAAGCTCTTTATCTGACCTTCTATTCCGAATGATC